AAAATTTTTTTTTTTTTTTTTTTTTTTATATCGAAAACTATAACTATAACGGCGTAAAACACATGGGAAAGCTTCTACAGGTGTACGATGCTGTGTAATCTTATCACGTTGTTCTCCATTTTACTCCTGTTACCGTCACCCACGGCTTTGCCTGCACTTCTGCCTACGAGCAATGGGCGACTCTCTCCCTCCCTTTCCCTCCTACTCCTCCCCTTCTCCCGCCATTCAACCGAGCAGTCTGGCTTTAAACATTCAACCAGTCTGTCAATCTATCATCCCTGCGGCAGAATTTCGCCACCTAGTTGCTCAATTGTTTGATATCGCCACGCTGAATCACCGATCATGCCCCGGCTTACTTCTGTTGTCGCTTTTATATAATTTGATTTTTTTATTACATTTTTTTTTATCGTGCGACGATTTCATATTATTATTATTATCGATATTATTATTATTATTATTATTATAGTTAAAGCAAGTGAAAATTTATTTTCGCACTTTAAGAGTTTATTATTTCAATGAAAAGTAAATGTAATTAAGCTATTTTTATTCTTTTGCATTATTCTTCGATTTTTAATTTTCTGGCAATCTGGAATAATTAAAAAAATTTTTTTTGAAGTGAATGAATTGAGTAAATTTTTTATTTCAATTTAATTTGTTTTTGGAGAAAGAATATTAAATAAATGTTTAAATTTTGATATTTATTTTTAAAAGACAAACAATCGTATTCTAATCTTACAACCAACAATATTCACAATATTATTTAATTTCCAATCTTCGAAATTTTTTGATTACCTTGATGCAATTCGACAATTTTTTGACGAAAAAAAAAAAAAAAATAGAAAAAACTTCAAACTTTTTTCATTCACAATTTTTTTTTTTTTTTTTTTAGCGTTACTTAATGATTCCAGTTACGCGATGCATATTTCATATTTCATACATCAAACGTGCATGGCATTACGATTACACGAGATCACGAAGTGATTTGCAAGTCAATCGACATTTACCATGGCAAATGATCATCTATCAATCCATATCTCCACTAACTTCTCGATTGGTTAGCTTGGAAAACTCGGAGGAACGTGCCTCGGATGACGTTGACAAGATACTATCCCTTGATGATGTTACCCCAAACACTACCCCCGTCGTTGTTACACTCTCCCCCAGTCTTTTGATATTCTACTACAATCGATTGTATACGTAATCCAATCTGGTGTACGTTTCATGCTCTTTGAGGTATCAAGCTCCTCCTCGTTTCACTAATGTACGCCTCTCGCTGCAGAAGCGGGTATATCTCTCGTAGGCTGGTGATGTAGATAAGGGTAGTTTTGCATCCTCCAAAGAAGAATGGAAATACACGGGAGAATCGATGCGACAAATTTTTTGCATCGAATGTACGTATGAGAAGGTTAATAATCGTTTTGAGAAGAAAATTATGTATTCGATTCGGTTTTCTTTATTTTTTTTTTATCTTTATTTTTTAATTTTTTTTTTTTTTTTTTTTTAATAAAGAAATTTTGTTTGGAATTGTTTGTTATTTTTTTCAGATTCGAGCACAATTTCGGGACCTGTGTTCATCGCTCCAGTTGGAAATCAAACGGCTGCTATTGGTCGTGAAGTTGTTTTCTCTTGCAGTGTTCGTAATATCGGGAAATACAAGGTAATTGAAATGCGAAATGTGTTGTACTCGTTTAATCTAGGATAATGATTTTGCAACTGTTTTATCGACGAACGGTAATGGATATTAGAGAATGCGGGAGAGTTCTAATAATAATTCGATGATAAGCAAAAATTGATTCTCGTATTATTTCCTTTTAATATTTTCTACAACGATCGCTTAATCTACAATCTACACATTAAACGAATCATTTTTAGGAGCTTAAAAAACTTGACAAAACGAAAACAAAGAAGAAGAATACCGAATCTATTAATATTCTTCTTTTTCTTCTTCTTCCTAATCAAATATAATCCAAATATAGCTACGTTTAGTAAGCTAATTAAATTTCTAAAATTAATCCAAAAAATTGCGCTCAAATTATTGTTGTCAAAAAAAAAAAAAAAAAAAAAACAAACGAAAAAATTCTCCCTTCTTCGAAGCCATCTTTCCCTCCAATTAAACAAAATATCAAAACAAATCATAATCGAATCAACTCGACTCAATCAAACAAAACGAACAAACAAAATATTTCTATATTTCACCGATATTCCATCACACTCGCAAGAAAATCTCTCCTCCAATAATTAACAAAATACCAGAACAAATCATCTCCACTCATTTGCACGCATTTAATTACATAAAAAAAAAAAAAAAAGAACAGAGGAAAAGAAGAAAAATATTCCATCGATATTCTCATTACCAAGTTTATACACATTGGCGAGAAAATTCTTTCACCCTACCAATCCATCCTCCCTCCAACGTTACCTATATTTAGTAATAAGTTTCTCGATCGAGATACTATATATATATATATATATATATATATATGTATTAGTGGAGGAAGGATGAAACGAATAAGGAAAAGCGCGAAGAGGAAGATGGCGGTGCGGTGGAATGGGCTGGTAATACGTGTGTGCTCGCGTTGGAGAGAGAGAGAGAGGGAGAGGGAAGAGAGGGGGAAGAAAGAGATGGAATGGAAGCAGGAATGGAAGGAGGAGCGAGTAAAAGAGACGACGGAGAAGACACATTTTCCCTGGCGACAGATTCCAGCCCGTAAAGTATCCTAGCCAGATGAAATATTCGGTCTATAGAAAGCCACTCAAGGCAGCTTGGCAGCCAGGGATGGATTAAGATAAGCTCGGGCCCTTCCCCCTCCCCAGTCAGATCCAAATAGTTTCCGGAGATCTTTTATGAGGGGAGATGGCAGCCAAACTTATAAATGTTGTTTTACTTTCGTATTGTCTCTCGAATCGAGCGATTCCAAGATGAATATTGGATCATGGCATACAGGGTTGAAAGATTAATTTGATCTTTGTATTTGGAAGTTTTTCTTTCTTCTTTTCTTCTTCTTCTTTTTTTTTGATCGATGTGTTATTTGTTCAATTGCATTTATTTGTTTCATTTTCGTATTACTCTATCAGTAAACGAAGATGCATTTGAAATTTTTTCTTCTTCTTTTCTTTTGATCGATGTGTTTATAGCTTTATTTTCGTATTCGTCTCTCGAATCGAACGATGATGAATTATTGGCTTATGATATAAAGGATTAAAAAAAATTAATTTGATCTTTGCATTTGAAATTTTTTCTTTCTTCCTTTCTTCTTGTTAATCAATCGTGTTATACGGTTAGTGCATTATTTAGTTTCGTATTGTCTCTCAAATTGAGCGAAGATGAGTTATTGGCTTATGACATAAAGCATTAAAAAAAATTAATTTGATCTTTGCATTTGAAATTTTTTCTTTCTTCCTTTCTTCTTGTTAATCAATCGTGTTATACGGTTAGTGCATTATTTAGTTTCGTATTGTCTCTCAAATTGAGCGAAGATGAGTTATTGGCTTATGACATAAAGCATTAAAAAAAATTAATTTGATCTTTGCATTTGAAATTTTTTCTTTCTTCCTTTCTTCTTGTTAATCAATCGTGTTATACGGTTAGTGCATTATTTAGTTTCGTATTGTCTCTCAAATTGAGCGACGATGAGTTATTGCCTTATGACATAAAGGATTAAAAAAAATTAATTTGATCTTTGCATTTGAAATTTTTTCTTTCTTTTTTTCTTCTTTTTCTTCTTCTTTTTTTTTTTTTAATCGATGTGTTATTCATTCATTGCATTTATTTATTTTGCCTTCATATTCTCTATCAGTAAACGAAGATTCATTTGAAATTTTTTCTTCCTCTTTTCTTCTTTTCAATCGATTGTGTTATACGTTTATTGCATTATTTAGTTTTGTGTTGTCTCTCAAATTGAGCGAAGATGAATTATTGGCTTATATATTTTAATTAAAAAAAATTAATTTGATCTTTGCATTTGAAATTTTTTCTTTCTTCTTTTCTTCTTCTTCTTCTTTTTTTTTTGGTCAATGTGTTACATGTTTATAGCTTTATTTTCGTATTGTCTCTCGAATCGAACGATGATGAATTATTGGCTTATGGAATAAAGAATTAAAAAAAATTAATTTGATCTTTGCATTTGGAAGTTTTCTTCTTTTTTTCTTCTTTTTTCAGTCGATATGTTATATGTTATATATTTATTGTTTTATTTTTATATTGTCTCTCAAATTGAGTCAAAGATAAATATTGGATCATGGCAGGATCGATGGAAATTAATTTGATCTTGCATTTGGAACTTTTCCTTTTATTTTCTTCTTTTCTTCTTTTACCTTTCATATTGTTTTTCAAATTGAACGAAGATGAATATGGCAAAAAAGGGGAGGATAAAAAAATTAATTTGATCCTTGCATTTGAAAATTTTCTTCCTTTTATTCGTATTATATTTTATTTTCGTATTGTCTCTCAAATTGAACGAATCGAAGATAGATCGATAGGATTAATTTGATTTTTCCACTTGGAATTTTTTTCTTTTCTCTTCTTTTTTTTTTTTTATTCTTCTTTCCTCAAGTTTGAACGTTCGATGAAAATTAATTTAATTTTAAATTTTTCTTCTTTTTCTCTTCCGTTCTATTCAATTATATCGATTAATTTCCAAAATATAATATAATTCAATTGTATATACGTATTTTGAGGAAAATTATTGGCAATATTTTTGTCGTGAATTTTTATCAATTCTGCTTCATTTTACAATTATACTGAATACATATTTTATTTACTGTAATCCCATTCACAATTCTTCCTCGTTATTCGTTAATTTTGAATAGAAAATGAACCGATGAATGATCGAATAGAAATGACAATCAAGATTAAAAATAATAAATTTAATCGATCCTCTATTATTCTCGCATTTTTTTCTCGAACAGGAAAGAACAGGATGCAATAATATTAATCGTAGAAATAAAACTTTTAATAAAATCTGCCAATTATATATTACCGGATATAGCAATTTCAATTACATTCAATCATAATAAAAAAAAAAAAAAAAAAAAATATCGAGTAATATTCCTAAATAAAAAACTCAATATCCTTTGACAAAAAATCAATATCCTTATCCATCCTCGATTCCCCTCTTAAACGCAATTAATTCAATACAGCAAAGAAACTAAATTCCTTTTAGGAAACAAAAACAAAAAATTCAGACAGAATAAAAATCATTTTTAAATTACGATTTCAATCAACGTTTAATAAAAAAGAATAATATCCACAATATTCTCGATCACTACCAATTCAAAAATTCTAATTTCATTAAAAAGAAATAAACAAACCAATACCAAAAAAAATAAATTTTTCCCAAACACACAAATTTCATATTTTCCATATTTCATATCATAATTTAGATAGAAATATAATCCATCTAATCTTATCTTTAATTACAAAATCATTTAAATATTACTCCATCCATATACAAATATAAATATATATAAGATAATCTCCAACATCATTATCTCATCCATGAACGTAATTCTCGAAGCAAAAGATTTCGGGGAAAAATTGTTTTCGATTTCTGAAATATCGAGTGACGAGAGGTAAATGAATTTTGCAGGTTGGCTGGCTACGCG